TTCCATTTCCAACCTAACCCATTATTATATCTAATAGACTTATTATGTATAGATGATCTGTTTATAACCATCTCAACGTCATCAACAGTATTTACACAACTGTTCTTGTATGCTATTTTGATAAATCCAAATTCAGCATCACAAATAAATTTTGTGTGCCCAGGTATCATAAAATTTTTCACTGTTTATAAAGAATAAATTAATGAAAAATTCAGCTATTCCACCAAAATTTATTTTTAATAATTTTTTGTCTTACACGAAAAATTCGGCCATTTCACCAAAATTTGTTATGACAAATTTTGGGGCTCAAACAGTCAATTTTTCGTGTAACGAATTTTCAGGAGCTATTTTCTCAAAATAATTTAATATGAACTAAGGTCCCTTTTGCTAGAAAACTCCCCATATGTAATCTTGACTATCTGGGTCAGTTTATTGATATATAAAAAAATAAATTACAGGATATATAGGAATTGTTTATTTATTCAGACCAATTATTGTTCTAGGTTTTTTTTTCCATGGTTTTTGCAGAGATGATGATCTTGGTGGGGAAGTGATCATTGATACTGATGATTGTGATGATATTATTGACATATCTGAAGATGATGAAATACTTGACATAATTTCCATTGAATCATTAGCAGTGTGCATTATTTTACATATGGTACATGCTATTGCAGTTCTAAGGGTCAACAACATGTGGACTAGAGAGTAGACATCATTTGAGTTTATAGATGAAATATATAAGGGTATTTTTGAACGCATAAGCAAACGGTTTTTATATAAGCCTGATTCCTTTTGCATGGTGTGAACCTCTAATGAATCGCCAACTACATTGATCATAAATATTGTTAACATGTGTTTGATCACTGTTTTTCTAAAAAATCTATCATTTTTGGATAACCATATTTCATTGATTGAATCTTTTGCAAGTCTATTTAATTTATTATGATCTCACAATTGCTTATCAGGAAGGGAATCTGGTTGGCCAGTTTCAAGATATCCTATTTCAACATTCTTATTTTTTATATCCGCAATGACCATATAATCTGGTCGACATGCACTCTTATAAGACCCTTTCCATTCTGCACTAGCTGAACTCACCTGCTCCCCCCTTTTATTCAAAAAATATTATTATTTTCTACTATAAAAAACGATAATCCCAAATATTTCGAAGTAAAATCTTACCACACTCCCCATGTATCAGAATTTACAGGTAAATCACTCATTGCAATATTTATCAATGGCGATATAACCTCACATACATATGACCCTTCATTTATAACGGGGCTTTTCAAGTTCACATAAGACTTCCATTTTGAAGATCTCCAAACCCAACTCAATGATACTAACATTTGATTTGTTATTTCTTGTAGCTTATCGGTCCATCTAAAAACTCACCAAAGTTTGCATCACCGAAATTTTCAGGAATGTATTCAGAGAGAAGCATCTTTTCTTTTTGAATGAATTCCTCACAAGTACTCTTTAACATTTCATTAGCTGGTATCAAGAATTTTCCAGACAGTGCATTAAAAAAGGTGTAGATATCTTTCGTCATTTCTGTAAAAGGTGTTGAGCTGATGTCAAGTATACATGAGCATAATGGGTGGTCATATCCTAACTCTTCAACTTTTATTTCATTTAACTTTTCCTCGATACTTTTCCATATCGGTCTCTCTTCTCCTGATGATAATAATGCAAGCTAAATCTTCTATATTAGTAAATCACATCAAAAGAAATTATCATTTACATTAATACTAACTGAATGTATTTCATTCTTCAACGAATTGAAATTTTTTGATGCATTCACGATCCAGGGTTCTTCAACATTCTATAGTTGTAAATTTTACTCATTTACTATGGATTTTGTTTGTTATGAATAACGACATATCATAATTAAAATCATACCAAAACTTGTAATTCCAATGAAGAATGAATATATTCAAACGCCTCTGATACCTATAAATATTAAGAAATGATCAGCTAAATGTGAAATAAAAATATTCAATATCAATACATATACGCGTGATCAGATTGGTTTTATCTTTTCATATAAATTTCAAGAATAGCCGGCTATTTATAAGTTGTAACCTCAGCAGAAGCCACATATGGTGTGTTATGTACATAAGTAGCTACTGCCCAAACCCCACAATGTTAATATCACAAGACAAGGTCCATTCACTACCTACATACCACCTTATGTGTTATCCACCAAGTTGGTAGGGTGTCCAGGATTATGCTTTTTTTTTTTTTTACAAATTATGCTTTTTTTTCTTCCAAATTATGCCCTGATGCTTTTTTTTTTTCTAGAATTATGCTTTTATGCTTTTTTTTTTCATAATTTTTGGGCAAATTTATAATAATTCCGACCAAAATTAACATTAAAATTTTTATTTATTATTCATCAGCAGTGTATAAAATTCAATGTAGTTC